AATTTCACCCCCTATAGACAGCGATGGAATCAGCTGACTATGCCGAGGCGCCGGCAACCACAGCCACTCGGTCTTGGAAGGGTTGAGTCTGAGTCTGTTCCTCCCCATCCAGACCCGTACGGCCTCCAGGCAACGGGCCATCACGTCAAGGGCATCGTTGGGGTGACCTGGGGTGGAGATGTACAACTGAGTATCATCAAAGAATATCAAAGGGAAACAAAGCAAGTCAGCTGAGAAGCAAAGGAGAACTTGCCTTAATGGTCAATGGGGAATTCCTCAATGAGGAAAAAAAGTTGGATAAGCAATATGGGTTAGCTGAATACTCATCAGCCATCAAGGGTGCTTTGTTTGATGCTGAAGCACCACACAATATTTAACATCTGCAGAGAAAATATAGATGAAGCAAGGGTCTGTACTTGCAATTAATGGAATGGAATGGAATAGAACAGAACAGAACAGAATATATACAGGAATAGAATAGAATAGAATAGAATAGAATAGAATAGAATAGAATGGAATGGAATGGAATGGAATAGGAATAGGAATAGGAATAGGAATAGGAATAGAATAGGAATAGAATAGATAATAAAATATACAGGAATAGAATGGAGTAGAGTAGAGTAGAGTAGAGTAGAGTAAAATAACAGAGTTGGAAGGGACCTTGGAGGTCTTCTAGTCCAACCCCCTGCTCAGGCAGGAAACCCTATACCATGTCCATTCTCTTCTTAAAAACTTCCAATGTTGGAGCACCCACAACTTCTGGAGGCAGGTTGTTCCACTGATCCAAGAAATGCTGCTTAATGGCTGTGGTGAAGAGCCATCATCTTGCAACCAACCCAGTTGCAGTCACACTTGATGTTTATCCTTTGAAGGAATATTTTTTGATGGGCTCCATCAGAAGAGCACCTACACCTCAGCTCTAGGAGAGGGTACTCTTTGGATCTGAAGAGGCAAAGGTCCATTTAGATCCAGTGCAAAGTATATGTTGCTGCCTCATTAACAAAAACATGTGATTATATGGGTGGCTTCTTTCAGATGCCACCAAGTACAATAAAGGTGCCCACACCAGATCTGAAGCACCTCTACTGCTTCCGGTCCAAATAATGCACACTCCTAGGCTTCTGTTACTTTTCAAGCAATCCAGTGGTACCCAGACCGTAGAAGAGACCTGAACATCTGAACTGTGTGGTCTACAGGAATAAGGTGTAGTCGGGATTAGGGTTAGGGTTAGGATGAGGGTTTTTAAAAAAAAATAACATTCTCAATATTTAGCAAACAGTCTGGATTCATGTATTTAAAAAACTTCTAATCTGTTTTCAAAGCCAGACATCCTACAGTTCTTCTGCTTGCTCTCTTATGACATTACCCTTCTAGATAAACAATTAACTAACAGCTAACATCCCAAGGCTTAGACAGAAATACCACCCAAGTGGGTGAGATTTGTTCTCAAGTTAAAGAGGTACGAAATCCCCCTCCCACCTCTTGGTTCCACTGTGTTAGAAACCAACTTTTGGCCCCTCCCATTTTTCACTTACCGACTCTCCAGGTGTCCCCTGATCACCCTTCAGTCCGGGCAGTCCAGGCTGACCAGGTTGGCCAGAGTTTCCTTTTTCTCCTTTCACTCCTCCAATCCCGGGTGGTCCAGGAGGTCCCTCAGGCCCAGAAAGACCTTCAAGTTGTAACAGAGAATTTGGTGTGTCAGTGCAACATCACTCTCTTTAGAATCAGCTCTATCCCCGGTGTGGCCTTGGGCTAAAAGACCATGCCCTTTATGTCTGTGGGCCATTTTATGTTCAAGGTCAAGTCAAGGAAGGACCTGCCCAGTAGTTGGGGTGGTGGTTAGGGTGGTTCTGCTACAATCAGTGTTTCTCAACCTTGACAATTTTAAGGCATGTGGACTTCAACTCCCAGAATTCCATAGCCAGCAATGCTGGCTGTGGAATTCTGGGAGTTGAAGTCCACATGCCTTAAAATTGTCAAGGTTGAGAAACACTGTGCTACATCAATTTATAATGCTTTGTGCCTTAGTTTCTGAGCATCGACTGTCCAATGTACATTTCACCTTTTCCTTACTGTATTCAATTGACCGTTTCTTAGCCTTTGGGCTGAGATCAAGTATTCTTTCATAAGTCTTATTCTACATGGGGAATGGCCAGGGAGGAGGGAACACTGATTTTGAGATAGTATGGAGAGGGATTGTGCTAGTACAAAATTGGAGGACCCACACCATGATGGTAACATTTCCTCTTGAGATGTATTTATAGAAGCCTTGGGTTGGAAAGGAAGTTTGGGTCTTCTAAGCAGAGTTGTGTATATTCCTACAGAATTGTAGGAAACTATGGCTGGGAGCCACAGGTAGAGTTCAGAACTGCCATAAAGAGGGTTTAAGGTGGGGGTTCTACCTCACCAACCTGGAACCCCAGGTGATCTCCTGAGGCCTTGCAGAGTGTAAAGAGATGGTACAGGCAGAGGTGAGAAGGAGAACAAATGTCTTTGGTGGACATTCTCATATCAATGAGTCAACAAACTCAACAACTGGCCATCTATGGTTTCTAAGATCAGCAGACAAAAACAGGGACTAACCAGCCCATGATTATTAGTGAAATGGCACCAATGAAGATAAGGAGAAAAGGCATGGGTAGGAAGGACAGTCCTTATCTTTGAGACAATCTTTCCACATTGGTTTAGTTCTTCCTCCTTTTGCTGAAGTCAAGTCATTCATTCATTTCAGGCATTCATTCATTCATTTATTTCAGGCATTTCAACAAATTTGTATTTTTTTTTTTGAAGGTGATCATTCATAGTAACAGTTTAACATGGAAAAGGTCTTTGGCATCTTAAATAAAAAATGAGATAAAGGTATATGGTGCTTTTCTTGTTTTAAACACATTCTACCACAGAATGGGAGAATGTAGATATTACTATATAAACACCAAATCAGAATTTGCCAACGTGATATCCTCCTGACGAATTGGAGCTGAATGAGATGGCCAGGAAATGGACAAAATTGATTTAAATGAATTAACTGGGTGCCTGTCCTGAAGATGCTGGCAATTTCTATGCTATTTCTGCCCTAGGAACATGATTTTCTTAAACCAACCAATTAGTTTAAGTGTTTTTTTTTAAAGTTTGATTGAAGAGAATGTTGATCTCATGAAATGTTTTCAACCATAGAAGTAGATGGGAGAGATAGCATATATCAAGGGGTAATAACCTACCAAACCCAGCTTGCCTTTTAAAATTATTTTAAAATTAATACCAACTGGAAAATTGTTGAGATAACAATAACAACAACAAAAGGTCTGGTAATTGCTATACCACATGAAAAGAAACATTAAGAAAAGTATAATCACAATTCTTAAAATGCCACAAGGTTCTGCTTAGCAACCGCCCTCCTCAAGTAGTAATTAAACGCAAAAGTCCCAGTTGAAAAAACTTTTTCCAACAGAATTAGGAAAAACAGATTAGCTGTCTAGGTTCCACATTTTCAAGGGATAACACATGAATTCTGAACCTAAACCTAGTTCAACTGTAACAAGGGTTAACAGAAACAAGCCAGATTTGTAAAGTATGGTTATATTGACAAAATAATACCTAATGTTCCCAAGTTTGCATAACACGCAAGGCTAAAATGCAGGTGGACTGAATTATGGACCAATGTATCATTGTAGGAGAAGGAGTAACACAACCTAGGGCTGGAGTTAAAAAAGGGATCAGTCTAGAATCCCTACGTAGCCACAAGTGAACTAGGTCCAATTTCCTTGAATTCTGTTGATCCGTATCTAACTCCAGGCAGGTGCTGTTAGCTGAGAAGATTCCTGCGCAGAGGCTATGTAACAATAAATCAGTTTAATTGGAGCTTCAGATGTGAGCCTCATCTTTCACATCTGACAGTTGTGTTCCCACAGGAGATGTTTTGAAGTTGGCTTGTTCAATAAAGTATAGTTCAAGCTAACCATGGACTGGTTTAAATTTGGATATGAGCAAAAGTATGATCCAGAAAGCTTCTGATTTTTTTTAATTGCCACACAGCTCTGTGTTAATGTGGGGTAATGTTAAATCATGATTAACAGTTATATCTTATGCAACCAGGATCTAAGTGTACAGCAAAATAACATTATCAAGCAACCAATACAGTCAAACAAACTTGCCAAGTTAAGAATCTAACCTGGAGGACCTGGAAGAGTCAGAGTTCACCAAAGGCCAATGTTCGTTGTTAGGGGGAAGATATGAGATATAACAGTGCAAAACAAGATGACTAGTTAGAATTAGCATTCATGAGTTGATACTACACAGAGAAAACCCATCTCACCAGCATATTTTGTATTTATAGATTGCAAATGTGTGCATGCACAGACAACCCTCCTTCCCACCACATCAAACACACATACCATGTGTTTCTAAACAAAATGATTTTTTTAGATATACAACTTATTCTGGTGATAAGGCTGCTACAACTCGTCAAAGTCAACCTTGGTTGACATTCTTCTGGTCAAGGCTCAATATCTGTTAGTTTCAGGTAAACAACAAACAACAAACATTTTCGTGATCATTTCACTGACTTGGCTGCAGAAGGGATAACCTGGTTGAAATCAGCTAGCAGTGTGTCTGTTCCAGTGACCTTGAAATAGTCTTCTAAGTTCTAAAGAAGAACAAAAGCCCATTTCTTTTGCATTGCCATTAAGACAAAAGGCCAGATATTTTTGCTGTAATCGTCCTGAGTTGGATTAACGTAATTTTATTTATGTTAAACATGGTATGGCAGAAAATGACTAGGAACTGTCATCTGGTTTGAAGGCTAGACTGCAAAATTTAAAAAGAAAAAATCTCAGGAACTATTGCCAAAAAATCATCAGAGGATTCCAGCTCAATTCAAAGACAATGTTCTTTTTGCCCATGTTAATTAATCCTGCTAGAGACACTAATATTGATGCTATTATTAATACTATTATTAAAACAATTGAATATGATGCAAAGGTATATTTATTATGTATTTCTTTTAATACTTAAAACATAACTGCCAATTGTTTCCGATGAAACCAATTCTGGAATAGGTTTATGCTATCCATCATGATTTGTACACTTCTCCAGAATAATGGATAAAGGCTAAAGTGACATGGAGTTAATATGCACAGTTTACAGCTTGTCAGTGAAATATTCACAAAAATGTAAAGAATCCATGCAAATTTATCAGCAATAAATTAGGAAGTACATATGCATAAGTTTCCATCTCACTTGTTTCTCTGCATTCTTGGTTGACCATTCTATATTAATGCTAAACAAAAGATTAGACTAACCGGAACTTTTTATTGCAAAACAAGAGTCCAAGTTTTGCTAAGCCTTTTCAAAATATACAAACAGAAAGTAACCAATCTTTGTTGCTTCACCATTTTCCATTTGCTTTTTTTTTTACATTTAATTAAACTGCACTTTTAATGAGCCACAGTTGATTGCTCTATTTAAATAACACTTAGGTTCAGAACTTTTCCATGAAGATTTGTTTTTGAAAAGCTATCTTAGCAAAACTTTCAATATTTCTTTTTACTCCATTTTATACAAATGTGTATGCCAAGTCAACTTTGTCCTAAGAAGTACACACACACAGACACACACACACACACACAGACACACACACTATGATTTTGTCTCATCAACATTATCTTACTACAAGAAAAAAAAATCTAGTTGCAATTAGAAAACATAGAGACTAAAACTTCTTAGAGCTAAACACTCTGCTTTTTTTTTTTAACCCAGAATTGAGTCTGAATTCAATAGGGATTTACACCTAGGTAAACTGGACAAAAGTACAGATCCATTTTATTGCAGCCTCATTCAGACTGGACTCTCGCTATAAACAAACAAGACAAGAATTGCAAAGGCATACAGTAAGCGATTCCAAATGCTAATAAGTCATATTTATAGCTTATGTTATGGCAAATGTGATCATGCCCAGAACATCACATTGATTCTACCAAAAACGAGATGTTTATAAATGGTAAATAAACACGCTTCGTTTTCAGTCGGGACACAATCCTTGCAATTTGTGGGGTAAATAAATCTCACATTTTAAAATAAAATAAAATAAAATAAAATAAAATAAAATAAAATAAATAAAATAAAATAAAATAAGTGTAGACCTTGAAAGACTTTTGTAGAAATTTAGACCATCATCTTTTTCTTTAAATTTTAATGGTATTTTTCAATCAAACTTCTGCCTTTGCCTCATTCTACGTACAAGATAGATTGATGACTTGGCATACTCATTCTGGAGAAGAAACCATAAGACGTACATTTAATTTCATGCAAAAGGTATTACGCTAGAGTTAGCTAACCTGTGGCACCTGGAAGGAGGTGATCAAAAGTTCACCAAGGCCATCATTACAAAGAAAAATATCAATATAGTTAGGCACATAAACAAACCGATACGTTTACACAGCAATCCATCTACATTTCTTTGTTTTTAATTCCACATGGACACCAAACTGTCATCATGATCAAAAATTATTATTATTATTATTATTATTATTATTATTATTATTATTATTATTATTATTATTATTATTATTATTATTATTATTATTATTATTATTATTATTTTTACAGTGAATGTCTCAGTCTCAAGGGGGAAAAAAATGTTGAGGCTGTTCAAGGGATGCCGTTTGGAATAAGTGCAAGTTATTACGGTGGGGGGGTCCTCAACTTACAACCATTAATTTGGTGACTGTTCAAAGTTATAAGGACATTTGAAAAAGATGACTTACAACTTGGTCCTCGCATTTAAGACAGTCACAGGATCAAAATTTGGATGCTTGGCAACCAGCATGTATTTACACTGGTCATGTAATCACCATCTGCCATCTTTCCATCCAGCTTCCATCCACGTAAAGTCAATGGGGGAAGCTGGATTATCTTAATGACCACATGATTCATTTAACTGAAGTGATTTGTGATAAAAAAGGCAATAAAATTGGGCACAACTAACTTAACAAGAACTTCTGATTCCAGAAGTTGTGGTTGTAACTTGAGTCTATCAAAAGCATCTCCGTGTTAGGAGTAGCTTCAAGAAGTCAGTCAAAAGTGCGACCCTCCTGCCAATTATTGACGATCGCTGTCAACAAAATAGATTATTCTATGTATCTAGTTCTGTTTCTTCATGGTTTGCAACTGCTTCCTTCTTGTCCAATCATTGCTGAGTTACATTCCAGAGGTTGATTCCATCAACAACGGGCCAATTGCATTTCCTTTTACTCATAACAACAGTTTGGTCTTCACCCACTGGCAGACGCACGGTAGCATGAGATGAACGGCTACATTCTACATGCAGTGAAAACAAAGATGATAGAAACAATGCCACCGGGCCATTACTAGCCCTTCCCCTTAGTCACAGTCTAAAGTGACAGGGTCTTCATCAAATTTAGTCTTCTCCCAATCCTCCTACATGAAGGGTCTTCAAACTTGGTCCTTTTATGACTTGTGGACTTCAACTCCCAGAATTCCTGGCTGAGGAATTCTGGGAGTTAAAGTCCACAAGTCATAAAAGGGCCAAGTTTGAAGACCCCTGTCCTACATGAAGGGAATGTGTGTGTGTTGATGCTGCCTTCTTCAAAGGTGAATCAAATTCTTCTGCAGTCATGTGGAACTACCCAACAACGGAGCTCTTCTTCAGACGCCTTGCACTTACTTCAAAGGCGTTGATGAGAAGACCTAGAGATGTGTTCTACTGCCTTCCTTGCCACCTAGTAGATACCAGGTTGAATGTTTGTCTGAATGCTTATCCTGGGTGACTGAATGTTTAACATCTAACTTATGTTTATATCCAGTTAATGAGTTGTTATCATCAACTTCATCACTGCTGTATAATTAACGACATTCTTATATTCTACTTGTATGCCATCTTCAGGTTTTTGTGCTGGAAATACATTTCTGGGATAAACAGATCTTAAAGAACTTGTGTACATGAAAGTCAGAATCTTTCTCTTATGTAACATACGAACAGAATTTTATCTGAAGTTGGGGAAGTTATGTTAATATTTAATCAAGGTCAGTTAGAAGCCAACAGGAACTCTAAAGGCTGAAGTCTAGGTTGGAGTAAAGCAATGGCAAATCACTTCCTTATATCTGCCAAAAAACCTCCATGGACATACCCATCAAGACATCAAGCTTGACTTAAAAGCAGTGGCCATCAACCTTTTGGGTACCAGGGACCAGTTCCGTGGAGTGAGTTTTTTCCATGGACCAGAGAGGGGGAGGGGCTGGTTTCGTGTGCTGCTTACATCCTACAGTTGGGGCTTTGCTTGTTTGTGTGGCCCAGTTTCTGGCATAAGACGGACCGGTTTGGATTGGGGACCCCTGACTTAAAGGACAGCTTATTTTAAGGTGTTAGAATTAAAGGACAGCTTATTTTAAGGTGTTAGAATTGTTTTTATTTGTTAGCCACCCTGAGTGACATCAATTGGCAAATTGATAGAATATAAATCCCACAAATAACTTATTAAAACACATTATTTAATGTATATGTACTAGGAAGAGACAAGATTTCCTAACGATGCCCAATCTGTTATGTTCTTTAGAACTCACTCTATCATTTTAGTTTTTTGAGATGTCATAACATTTTGTCCAGGTTGAGCTACAAATAAAATGCATCTTCTATGGTCATAAAGTGTCAACACTAATTGAGTCTTACCAACTGTCAGAAAGTGTACAAAAAGTGTCAATTACAGCAGGGGTCTCCAGACTCGGCAACTTTAAGGCTTGTCTACTTCAATTCCCAGAATTCCTCAGCCAGCTATGGAATTCTGGGAATTGAAATCCACAAGTCTTAAAGTTGCCAAGTTTGGAGTTCCCTGAATTAAAAGTCAGTCTAAATAACCCTGAATTATCTACAATGGCTATTCTAATAACTCAGTTGTCTTATTCCACAAATTCCAAAATAGGACTGTTGGACATATAACAATAGCACACAAGTTATATCACTTTCTCTAAACTTGCCAAGAATCGGTCCCACACGTCAGGCAGATTTGATCAGATACCAGTAACGGCCCGGTGGCATTTATTTAATATTATCACTTATACACAGGAACTACAAACAAACAAGATGGACGGGGTGATAGAATGAAGATGAGACGGGATGCATTGCACCTGCTGGAATGGAGGATACAATGGAGCAAGAACGAGCATTAATGATGAGCATAACCCAAACAAGGAGGAATAAATGATGAATATTGAACATGCTGTGCTGCTAACATGAATTTGATTTCCAATGGTCCTACGAGCAGTGAGAATTATCATTCGGTGCACAAGATGGATTTCCTGATCAGGTGGCATCATGGTACAGGCAGCCTGGGCAGATGCTATTAAGGCTGATTGGGTGCTTGGCTTGATGAGTGCTGTGATGACATGCAGAGCCCATGTAAAAATTGGCAAAGTTTTGCTGGCAGATTATCAGCAGATTCTATTTTTGTCTCTTGACTCTTGACAATGCTTGTCTTTTTCAGGATAACTCAACGATGCCTCAAAGGCACTTTATATACGAAATGTCTGGCCAGATCATCAAAAGCATGAGCCTGGAATGAGCTGATCAAAACAATAGAATGATAAGCCAATAACCTTCCAGCAAAATATTCAGTGTATAGACCATCCTTTTCTTACCTGGCCGTCCTGGGATGCCTGGAGATCCAGGGTTACCCTTAGGTCCTTCTGATGCTCGCCCAGGAACTCCTGGAGGACCTTCTAAGCCCTGGTTGCCAGGATATCCCTTGGCGCCCATTTCTCCTTTTAAACCAGGGGGTCCTGGAGGCCCTGGGGGTCCAGAGAAGCCTGAATCTCCCTTTTGACCTATTTGTTAAAACAAAGAAGGAAATAGGTGTGTAAATGGGTCAGCATTCCACAAAGGTCTTTAAATTGCTGATGAAGAGAGATGGGAGATACCACCAGAGTACTTGATGAGGCAGGCTGAGAAACTGGTACCCAATATTTTCTGATATATCCCTCCCAATAGCTCCCACCTGTCAGCATTCTCAAAAAGACCAGGAACACCCAAAACCCATCCTTCAAATTTGCTGCTCCCATTATTTTCACTTTACTTTATATATGAAGAGTTTTTATATTTGTGGTTCATGATTTAAAACGGGTAGTGAAGCAACTTTACAGGACAGGGGATGTGAATCAAAAGTAAAGGATGTATTCATTAGATTGTGAAGCAAAATTTCCTAGATGGTTAGATGCAAAAAATTTTGTGCATACCGGCCTTTCAGTTTTAACAGAATAACAGAATGGCAGAGTTGGAAGGGACCTTGGAGGTCTTCTAGTCCAACCCGCTACTCAAGCAGAAAACTATAGCATTTCAAACAAATGGCTGTCCAAACTCTTCTTAAAAGCTTCCACTGATGGAGCACCCACAACTTCTGGAGGCAAGTTTTACATTACCCTCAGTCTGGATGGACCTTCCCAAAATTTTGGGCATATATCTCCTAAGGTTTGCAGCCAACATGATTTTTAACCAGGCATCCTGAGATTTGCAATATTAAGAGATCTGAGCATTCTGAGATTTTCAGAATTTGCAACGCTTGCCCTCTCATATCCAAATGTCAATTGCATTTCTGTCTCCAAAATGAAGCAACCTGACCATCCAGATGATGATCCAGCCGTTTTAGGAGTCAGGTAGAAAAAGCTTTTCTCTCTCACTTGGTACCAAATTCTGAGGTCTATTATGAAACAATGAACTTTCTTTTTCGTTAAGAAATAAAATTAATCTTTGCCTGCGAGTCCTTGGAGGCCTGGAGGTCCGGGAAGTCCAAATCCTGGTTGACCTGAAAGAACACAACCACAATGGCCAAATTAACCATGCAATTTCGTGTTATGGACTTCTGAATGCAATCTTTGTTAAAAGACATCAACCTTTCAACCGATGGATTCATCGCCATGATGCAAAAGGAAAAGGAAAGCATCAAACCGAAAAAAAAGGAGACTCACTCACCTGGTTCACCTTTCTGCCCTGCTGGTCCAGGGATGCCATCTTGCCCAGGTTGTCCTTTTCCCCCCAGAAGGCCTGGAGAGCCAGGGCGACCAAATTCACCTAAGGAAGAGAAGAATTGCCAACAATGATTTCTCTTGATGTTTTAGAAAAGTAATGCAAGGATCTGCCTATTGTAAATACTAACACTTCTAATGCAATTCATAATGCAGACAAAACCAATCCCTTGTGTTTCTACAGACTTGATTTAGGACTGGAATTGTTCACTTATCACAGAGATGACCACTTCAGCTGCTCTTCTTAAACATTTTAGGAAAGGAGAAATTGAGAAATTTCACATAAGAGTAGATGTACAGCTAGCCACAATTATGTACAATGATGAAATTTCCCCATTTGCTCTTGCTGCTATCCTTTATGTGGATACTAATGAAGATGTAGATTAGGTTATCAACCCTACGCTACACCCCTGATATGCAGTCTTCTCCACAAACAGTAAGGACCACAAAGCATTCAAAAACTCAATGCAAGTCCAGGTTTACACCAAGCAAGCTAATGCTGTTCTCTGCAAACTAGGATCTCTAATCTAGATAATATGTTGCAAACCTAAAGAAATGTAACTTAACTTAACCTAATCAAACCCAACCCAACCTAGCAAACCTAAAGACTAGCTAACTAACCTTACCTAACCTAGCTTTACCCAACCCAAGCCAGCAAACCAGAACTCTTTTTACTAGGCATAACCATGCAGAAATACAACAAAGGAGTGTTTTATTTGATGTTACACATTCTCCACGGCTGCTAGATTGGTGTATGCTCAAAACTGGAGGAATAAAGGAATTCCAACAGAAGAAGAGATTATATACAAAATTTTATCATGTGCTGAAATGGATAGGCTCGCAATGGAAATGAAGGATAAGACAGAATCAGACTATTTTGAGATCTGGGACAAATTTTATCACTGGTGTGAATCAAGGAGAACTGCTCAGGTTTTAAATTAGCGTTAAGATAGAATTATATATAACTGTATATATAACTGTATTGTATACTGTAGAAGAATATGTTTATATAGAGATCAAGAACTATGTATTAATTATATGTATCAAGAGGAACAAATTGTTAGGAATATTTATTTTGGAATGTCACGTTATGTCCATCTTTGTTTTTAACTGTATTATAAATAAAAAACTTTAAAAAAAAAACAAAACAAAAAAACAAATCACAATTAAGGAAACCATGGCACGACATGTAAGGGGGAATTAGGATGTGTAAGTGATGCTTTCTGGCTTAACATGAGGCTCAAGGGTAGCCACTGTGGATGGATATTTCAGATATCCACTGCAGGATGGTGCCTGATTGATTGCATGGGGCCTGGGAGGGAGAGCATAAAGAATTATTTTTCAATCCATACTAGATCGAAGAAAGGAATGGCAAGGAGTCAGATTCAAACAGTGTTGTCCCTTGACCCTCATTTCACTTGGAAAAAATGACAGGAGTGACCAAAACCTTCTTCTAACCTGTAATAGACTTCAGTAGTTCAAAGGCTTTTAAGATAGTTCAAGACAAACAAATCAACCAGGGAAACTTTTTACCTCTTTGATATTTTTCAGCACCTACCTGGAAGTCCAGGTGGCCCTGGATCACCTGGGCTTCCTGCAGATCCATCAAAACCTTTTGGTCCTGCAACGCCTGGTGTCCCTGTGAAAACAAAACCACAATTTTGAAAGAAGCACTACACAACTTCAGTAGGCATCAACATCCCTGAACCGGAAAGACAGAAATACTGATAGAAGACAAGATTTGTAGCTCAGTGTTGAATTACGGGGTTCCTTGGTGCTGTCTGAAGTTAATAGAATAGAATAGAATAGAACAGAACAGAACAGAACAGAACAGAACAGAACAGAACAGAATATAGAATATAGAATATAGAATATAGAATATAGAATATAGAATATAGAACATGAATAGAATAGAATAGAATAGAATAGAATAGAATAGAATAGAGCTGGAAGGGCCCTTGGAGGTCTTCTAATCCAGCCCCCTTCTCAAGCAGGAGAACCTATAGTCCTATACCATCCCAGACAAGTGACTGTCTAGTTTCTTCTTAAAAATCTCCAGTGATGGGGTGCCCATGATTTCTAGAGGCAAGTTGTCCTCACTGTCAGAAAGTTTCACCTTAATTCCAGGTTGCTTCTCTCTTTGATCAGTTTCCAACCATTATTTCTCGTCCTTCCCTCTGATGCTCTGGTGAACAATGTGACCCCCTCTTTCTTGTGGCAGCCCCTCAGATACCGGAACACTGCTATCATGTCTCCCCTATTTCTTCTTTTCTTTAGACTAGCTAGCCAAACCCAAGTCCTGCAGCCGTTCTTCATATGTTTTAGTCTCCAGGCCTTTGATCATTTTAGTTGCTCTTCTCTGAATTTTTTCCCCAAAATCTCAACATCTTTTTTTATGATATGGTGACCAAAATTAGCTGCAGTAGTCCAGGTGTGGTCTTACTAGGGTTTTATAAAGCGGTACTAATACTTCGTGTGATCTTGATTCTATGACTCTGTTTATGCGACCCAGCTTTGTATTAGCCTTTTTGGCTGCTGCTGCTGCATACTGCTGGCTCATGGCCAAGCGATTGTCCACTAGGACTCCAAGGTCCCTCTCGCAGTTACTGTTTTTAAGCCAGGTCTCGCCCAATTTGTACTTGTACCTTTGATTTTTCCTGCCTAAACGTGAAACTTTGTTTTTCTCCACATTGAAACTCATTTTGTTGGATAGGGCCCATCGTTCAAGTTTGTCTAGATCTTTTTGGATCCTGAGTTTGTCTTCTGGGATGTTGGCTACTCCTGTCAGTTTGGTGTCATCTGCAAATTTGATGAGTTTCCCTTTAATTCCCTCATCTAAGTCATTTATGAAGTTGGTTGTTTTCTTGCTGATCTTTCGTTAGCAAACTGGGTACCATCATCACTGATCACTGATGATGTTACCTAGTTTGGTAATGAAGCATCTGCAAGAAAGCAACCAACTTCAGGGAGCACCACGGATCCCAAAGATGGAATTCCTAAAAATGAAATAGAATCTTCTGTGATTAGAAGCAAAGAAAAAAGTAGGCCCAGATAAAACAGCTGTGCCAATTCTCAGTTTAGGACATTTGCTAAATAAAACAGATTTTAGTTATCAAGCCAAATGAAGATGGACTATACAGGAACCTCTGTCTTAAACATAGAAGTCCCTGGCTTCCTTCCATTAAAGTAATCCTTTTGATTCCTAAGCAATCTGTCTCCATCACAGCTGGCCATGACGCAATTTGAAAAATATTAATAGGTTTTTTTTGTTCTTTTTTCTTCCTTATCCCCTCTCTTGCCTTTGTTGGAACACAGAACCCTTGGAAATTGGTCTTTCTGGCTATAAACTTCCACAAACTACTCCAGAAGGCTTTTGAAGTTGAGAGCGAGAAAGAAACGAAGCCTTTGTTTTAAAAAAAACAGGTAAAATTTTAAAGAAAGAAAACTAGCAGAAGGTATACGCTTTCAGCTCAGCAACTGGATTGTTGAGCAAAACTAGAAGATGGAAGATGGGGTAATTGACACAGTAAGGAAAGAAATAGAGATAGTCCTTGACCTACGGTCCCAATTAAGCCTAACATTTCTGTTGTTAAACAAGACAGTTTTTAAGTGAATTTTGCCCCATTTGCCACAGTTGTTAAGTGAAACACTGCAGTTTGTTCTTGTTAGATGCAAAGTCATGTGTGACCCATGACAACCCCATGGACGTTCCTCCAGGCCTTCCTGTCCTCTACCATTTTCTGGAGTCCCTTTAAGCTCATGCCTACTGCTTCAGTGACTCCATCCAGCCACCTCCTTCTCTGTCATCCCCTTCTTCTATTGACCTCCATCTTTCCCAGCATCAGGCTCTTCTCCAGTGAGTCCTTCCTTCTCATTAGGTGGCCAAAGTACTTGAGTTTCAACTTCAGGATCTGGCCTTCTAAAGAGCAGTCGGGGTTGATCTCCTCTAGAACTGACTGGTTTGATCGCCTTGCAGTCCAGGGGACTCGCAGGAGTCTTCTCCAGCACCAGAGTTCGAAGGCCTCCATTCTTTGGCGCTCAGCCTTTCTTATGGTCCAACATTCACAGCCATACATTGCAACTGGGAAAACCATGGCCTTGCTGTAGGAGCCCAGCATATCTGGAGGACTCGAGATGGATAGAAACCCTCACAAAGAACATAAGCTCTGGAAGACGTACCCATTTCAGAAGCAAAGGGAGAAGACCGCAGAAGAAAAGAGAAGAAAAATGAACCAGGATAAATCAATTACCTGGGGATCCAGGAAAGCCAGGTTCACCTTTGGCTCCTGGCCTGCCTGTCGAGCCAGGCAACCCCGGATTTCCAAAGGACCCTTTAGCGCCTGGAGAACCAGAGTAACCAGGCAGTCCGCTTTCACCCTGGGGGGGAAAAAAAGGAAAAAAAATCGGAAAATCTAGAAGTTGAAGAAGCTTCTTGGGTGAGAAGCACAACATTTTCAAGGAAAAAAACAAACCCCCAAGGAAGTCCAGTTGCCTTTCGGAAAAGCCCCTTTGGGATGTCTTGAGAGTAGCACAGGGCAACCCAGGATTATGAAAAGGTGCTCTACTTCTGAAAAGAAGGTTGGGCAACCTACCTTGGGGCCAGGAGGACCTGGAATACCGATGCCTGAAATACCGGGATCGCCCCTGTCTCCCTTCAGTCCAGGTGATCCAGGAGAACCAGCCTGGCCAGGACGCCCTGGGATGCCTTGTGAACCTTTTGAGCCAGTGGGACCTGTGCAAAACAGTGAAAAAACAGCAGATCGTAGCAGCTCTGAGGCAGTGTATGTAACCATTGTGGATCAAGGATCACACACTTTACAAGTGGAGTGGCAAGGCAAGGGATTAGAATAGAATAGAGCTGGAAGGGACCTTGGTGGTCTTCTAGTCCAGCCCCCTGCTCAAGCAGGAGAACCTATACCATCCCAGACAAGTGACTGTCTAGTTTCTTCTTAAAAACCTCCAGTGATGGAGCGCCCATGATTTCTATAAGCAAGCTGTTCCACTGGTTGATTGTCCTCACTGTCAGGAAGTTTCTCCTTAATTCCAGGCTGCTTCTCTCTTTGATCAGTTTCCAACCATGGTTTCTCATCCTTCCCTCTGGTGCCTTGGTGAACAACCTGGCCCCCTCATTTGTGGCAACCTTAGGAATCTAAGCTGATGACACATTTAACTCCGCCCTCCCCCCAGCTCTGCTTGCTCTTCTCCTACATCTTTCCAGCCAAGGAATAAAAGACTGAACCGAAATGTTTCCAATTACCAAGACAATCTTTAATTCAATGAGTGCTTGGAAGGAGTCGGGAATGCTTCTGAAATCCCTACCTGGCAGGCCCATCTCGCCGTTGGCACCTTTAAGTCCTGGAGGCCCAGCTGGTCCAGGGGGGCCTAGAATCCCAGTGTCTCCTTTGGGACCTATTAAAAACAGAATTATTGTTACTTTTTTTGATGCTGGATGGATTTCCATGCTGTAGACATGTAAGCAAATGTTCACAAGCTGTAATGGCCAAGTTCATCCATTGTCCTTTGTCAAAACTGGAGAAGCCATGTAACGACTCAGTACAACATGCAGATCTGACGATTGCCATTAGTAGGAGTTAGTGTTTTGTGCAGAGCTGGATTGATGCGAAGCGGAGCTATTGTTTCAACACTGAAATAACATGTCCATTCAGAAAAGCAAAGAGTTGGTTGTCTCTCACCTGGCAATCCAGCTGCACCTGGCTGTCCAACTGATCCAGCGGGCCCTGGGTCACCTGGGAGGCCTAGATAACCCTTCTGACCGGTCAGACCAAGGTTACCTTCAAGGAAACAAAAGATTGAATGAGTAGTCTTCACACTTAGGTATGACTTATCCCAGGGGTAGGCAACCTTGGCTCTTTTATGACTCGTGGACTTCAACTCCCAGAATTCCTGAGTCAGCTGTGCTGAGGGGAAAGGGAGAGGTTTCCAAGCTGAGCCATGCTGGCTCAGGAATTCTGGGAGTTGAAGTCCACGAGTCATGAAGGGGCCATAGTTCCACCATGCTGGCTCAGGAATTCTGGGAGTTGAAGTCCACCAGTCATAAAGCGGCCTAGGCCTAGGCCAGAGGTGGGCAACCTTGGCTCTTTTATGACTCATGGACTTCAACTCCCAGAATTGCTGAGCCAGCCACGCTGAGGGGAAAGGGAGAGGTTTCCAAGCTGAGCCATGCTGGCTCAGGAATTCTGGGAGTTGAAGTCCACGAGTCATAAAAGAGCCAAGGTTGCCCACCCCTGATTTAGCCAATCAAAGAAATGCAGCAAAGAATAGGTGTTGCTGAGTTCCAATATCTTCCTATTGATACTGATAACTATAGTATTTAGCATCTGATGGTGCCTGGTTGGACAATATTCCACCCAAACATTCCCCAATCAGGGTTTAATCATGTTGTTGCATTATTGTGAATTGTTTATCTCCAAACTGAATGCAATATCCACTGGAGAGCACACAAAAGTAACCATAAGGGAGATAGTAGTGACATAGTTCCTTTTAACGATACATTTTGACTGATTTGCCTTTATATTTAATTACACACTTGTATTTTATTTTCTATTTTGTTCCTAGCTGACTTGAACACACACGGTGGTGAAAAGGATGTAAGTCCGACAGCCACAGAGGTCTTCAGGACTTCTCTGGAGTAAACCAGGTTTTGTTCATTGTAGGAATATCATTCAGTGAGATACAAATCCATATTCAATTATTTGCTTCTCGTCTTCCAGATTCTTGGAAATATGAGTGATGAACATGGTCTAGCCCAGTGATGGCGAACCTTTTAGAGACTGAGTGCCCAAACTGCAACCCAAAATCCACTTATGCATCGTCGGGTGCTGGGTGGGTGTGGCCCCTTGGCTGGGTGTGGCCCATTGGCTGGACGTGGCTGCGGTGGTAACGGCAGACTGGGTGGGACTAAAAAGTTCAATCAATCAATTCCAATTTTGCAAGATTTTTTTTTCCCCACGAGAAGTTGAAATTGACTGATTGAACCTTTTTTTTTTTTTTTGCACACGGTGGTGGAAGCCTAAAGCGAAAAGGTTTTACAAAACCCAGCTGAAGGCCTAGGACTGGGGCGATAGCGCACATGCCCACAGAGAGGGCTCTGAGTGCCGCCTCTGGCACCCGTGCCATAGGTTCGCCACCACTGGTCTAGCCATCTCTATCACTTTTTTCCAAGAGCAAATGTTCTTAGTGCTTTTAAGAGGAAGATTTACCCTGAGAAACACAACAGGAAGAGAAGGGACATGTATGGAGTAATGGAAGTTCCTGTTAGCCTGTTGATTCCTATCATGTGGAAGGAATACACACAGAGAATCTTTTCTTACCTTTCTCTCCAGGTTCCCCCTTTTCTCCTTTGGAACCCAATAGGTTAACATCAAATTTTCCCGGAACTCCTGGCAAACCAGGTTCCCCTTTGCTGCCTTTTTGTCCGGCAAGTCCTGGTTGTCCTGGTTGTCCTGATAAACCATCATTGCCTAAGCAGTATCCAAAGCACACAATGTTTCTTATTAATTTGGAGTGCACTGATGATAAGCCCCAATAGAATAAGTGGAAATCCACTTTATCCTTCACATTATCAACCTACCACATTAGAATGGCTCTAAATCAGGGGTGTCAAACTCAATTTCATTGAGGGCCGCATCAGCATTGGGGTTGTCCTTAGGGGGGGCCGGATGGGTGTGGCCAGGGTGGGTGCGGCCTACTGGGTGGGCATGGATGGAGTGGGTGTGGCCTACTGGGTGGGCATGGCCATCTCTACATCGTTCGCGTCAAGGATGCCTATGGGGGCCTGGGCAGGAGTGGGACAGATCTGAGGGTCTCTGGTGAAGGGGGTGGGACCGGGGCAAGCACCAAGGCATGGTGCATTTCTTCATTCCTCACAAAGGGTGACACCTCCCCAGCATGCACCCAGGGGGTGGGGCCGACGCGGCAGGGGCTGGTTCCTCGCTGATTCTAGACGGCCTTGTGGAGCTAAGACTGAATGCGTTTCAGCCTAGATGGCCACCACAAAATTGTACATTGGCTCCCAGCCGGCCTGGGCCAGGGCCAAGGCAGCGGGGGCCGTTCCCTCACTGTTTCCAGGATGGCTTCACGGGCCACATGAAACCACTTCGCGGGCTGCATCTGGCCCCCAGGCCTTGTGTTTGACATGTCTGCTCTAAATCATCAACACCTATGACAGATAAAGCATTCTTCATCGGGGTGCCAATTCCTCTAATCTCATCCCATTCTAGTACAATTCATTTCCAAGCCAACCACAAAGCTTTGGTTAGAGTGATTATTAACTGGGGCTCCCTTCTCCATCATGGCTGGATGGAGGTCAGCTCTGGTTCAAGGTCAACATGTTGATACAAAAGACCTTCCCATCATAGCTTATTATTGCCGATTACACATTTAGGTCAGCAATTAAAGGTGTAAGGAAACATTTAGAGTACAAATGGATTTGGAATTTTGAGAGCATTTTGTAGACTCGCTCATAAACTGGGTTACCTTGGATCATAGTCAGCCAGAAGGCAAACAGGTGAGCTGTTACCAAGATGCTCTCTCTGAGGTTTTCTGCCATTCCAACATGTCTTTGAATTTGTTGAGTTTGGAAGGGGCCACAAAACACTAAATTGCATGCTCCCACCATGTTTATTTAAATATATACATATATATATATATATATACAGGGCCTGTTAATGCAGTTCTTGGGGAAAAAATGTTGATGTGATGGAAGGGGAGCTTGGCTTTGCAGCATATTAGCCTTCCATTATTTTATTTTAAATGAAAAGGATATAGAAATAGGCATGGTAGGAACCCATGGTAGGAGCCCAATGGATGCCAAGAGAAGCACCTATTGGCAACAGCTTGTCTTAAAAAACCTGCACGATGTGTCTGAAATCAGAATTTCCCCTCCTCTATCTATAGGTGATAAACCAAAAGTATAGTTGCACTTTTACAGGCTTCAAAGGATTAATCCTGGATTCCAGAGATAGAAAACAAGTGACATCTTACCTTTGGAGCCAGGAAAGCCATTTCTGCCAGGAGATCCAGATGTTCCCTGAGGACCAGGTGCCCCCATCACTCCCATCTCGCCTTTGCTTCCTGGAAGCGCAGCAGAAACAGTTTTATTTGGAGCTGTAAAAGCCCTAACCTTCCAAATCTTTTTACTTCCCTTTTCATCCCGAAATTTCAACCTGAATTTTTTTGCCAATAGCAAGGCAATTGGCTAATCTCTAATTCAATATCTCTCAACCTTGGAAGCGTTTCAGATGTGTGGACTTCCCAACTCTCAGAATTCTGAAAGCTGTCAAGGTTGAAAACCCGATGCCCTCTCGTTGTGCTCAAATAATTCCCATTTTTTATGTTTAGCGATCCTATTTAATTTGGGAGAGCCATCTTAGGAGCATCGTGAGCACATGGGAGGGCCATATTGTTGACCTTGCAACTTTCCACAACAAGATGATGCCTCTCTTGCTTCAGTGAGAGCAGCATCACTGAATATAATCAGAAAGCTTTTAATTCTTGGAGGGCTTTCAGACTGTAGGAAAGCTTGAAATGTTCTCAGTTCATCACCTTTGAAATGAGTCAATGTTTTGATTGTTGAAGGACATCTCTCTACTGTTTTTCATTCATCACGACACCCCTTTATGAATTTTAGCGTCTATGCAATTGTCAGACAGTACTGTAAATAGAAAGCTCCTCCTGTCTACCCAAACCACAATAGCACAAAATATGTTTACCTGGTATGCCTGGAGTTCCATCTCGTCCTGGAGAACCAGGGGAACCTGGTCCACCTGGAAGACCAGGTGATCCAGAAAAACCTGGGTTGCCCCTGTCACCTGGAGGACCGGGAACATCAAATCCTGGTGGCCCAGGATCACCTTTCATACCAGGGATGCCTTGAACTCCTAGAAAAAGTTGTCAGAATACAATCCTTTAATTAAAGCTTTCCCTAAAACATTTGTTAGATCCTTCCCTCACCTTTCTGCTTTGCAGGTATTTAGGTTTTAACTCCTAGAATTTCTCAGCAAGCAAGGTATCAGACCCTTCAAACCAACATGTGGTGATTCTTCCAAGTAGATTTCTTTATTATTCCACACTTATAGGCAGAATCTTGCCAGACTGAAGTAGACTACCACCTACATCAATCATATACTCTGGGAACTGTTAGGGAGTGGTTGTCTTTACCCTCCTTCCTGGGAATCCAGACTACATTCTATCACACATGTTGAGAATTCTGGGAACTAAGATCAAAACCTGAGAAGGACACCAGGTTGGGGACTTTAAGAAACAGGAATTTGGACAGTGGCTGCACATTGTGCTTTAAATAATTGTGGTTTTAAGATGAGTTCCTTCAGCCTCAACTCAACAAAGCCAACAGCTCAGCAGTATTTTTTAGTGAAAACCAATTTTTTGACCAAACTCTTGGAATTTAGTTTTGAAATATGGAATACAGAAAAATCAATGTAAACCTGCCCTAGAGAAGAAACTTTATAAGTGATCAACAGATTGATTCTTGTTAATATGTAGAAATGAGGAATTGATTCTCTGAGGCATTTTAACTGCATTATTAGTAAGTTGAAAATGTCTGTAAAAATATCTGGAAATTCACTTTTCTCTCCACTGGCTCTATATTCCAGCTGGGCTGTTGATCTGTTGATTTGAACCAAGATTGTGTTTTACACAAACCAGACATTACTAGTACCATAAACCATGCAATACTGTTCTCATTGTTTTGATTTAATCTGCAGCATTGCCTAAGTCCTGGTACTAGGAAAAATATTAGAAATGCTTTAAATGAATAAATCTTTTTTTAAACAAGGTACCGTGTGGAAAACTGCATTTACTCACCAGCTCTTTGGAAATTTACCTTACAGAATTCAACTAAATTCTACATCTTTTGAGAAGTGAGAAGACAGTGAGGATTGTCTTTTTGCTGTTAGGGCAGGGGTGTCAAACTGCCGGCCCGCAGGCCAGACACGTCACGAGGAAACCGCGCCCAGCCCATTGCTGGCAATGGGGAAAAAGTTCCGATACGTCTCGCGACATCACGTGACGACACGAGTTTGACATGTCTGTGTCAGGGGGACAAGTATAGCTGAAAAACTGATGTCTAATGTCTTCCTTATTAGACCTTCACTCAGAGTCTAAGTTTCAGAACCAAGTATTTCTTTTTTATTTATTAAACATTTTCATTTTTTAATACAGAAAATAAAAAAAATGAGCTCCAAGAGAAAAATGGAGTTTTTACAAGAACAAAAGAAAACTGAATAAAAACATTAAAAGAATGTGGATTGAAAAGACAAAAAAAAAAAAACCAGAAACACATATTATCTTCCCTAGTTGAACACTGACAAATATATTGAACAATAAAAGCTTTCTCTCCTTGCAAGTCAAGTCTAAGATTCATAAACTTCTACTTCTGCATGCAACTAATTGCATACAGATAGCAATAGCACTTAGACTTATATACTGCTTCACAGTGCTTTAGAGCCCCCTCTAAGCGGTTTACACAGTCAGCCTATGGCCCCCCCACAACCTGGGTCCTCAGTTTACCAACCTTGGAAAGATAGAAGACAGAGTCAACCTTGACCCAGTGAGACTCGAATTGCCAAACACATATAGATGTATATGCACATCTATATTCTGTATAGGCACAGAACCAAGGGTTTCTATTACGTGAATAAAATCCTACAGTAGTTTTTCCTACAGAAAAACTAGTCCTATATGAGCATTTAGATTAGAACAATACACAAAGTTTCAGTTTAGAAATGTTTGACCTTCAAAACCCCAATTCTGAGCTCAAGAGGAATTCTCACTTCACTAGAAGTATTCTGACACATGGGCTATCGGATGTCTTTTACACTGAAACTGTTTTAAACTCTTGTTTCAAGCTCAAATAGGCCAGCTCAAAGCTGAAATATTTTGAGTTTGCAAGTGGCTATGCACATTATTATTATATTGGACCAGAATTCTTACTAACTTGGCCAACCACCAGACATCAGTGCTGCAAAAGGACAGACTGAGTAAATACACTCCTAAAGACAGGAGTCCAGACTATCTGCTCCAGGATGAAATCTTATAAAAAGACTAAAATGTCCAGTTACTAACAATTCTCTCTCATTGCACTTCCAATTTCTAAACTAAACAAAACAAAAAACGTTGTGCCTCATGATTTCTCCTAAAGCTCGTGAAGAGGTTAAATTCTGAAAAGGCTTGCTTGTTTCTTGGACTTTACCATCTTTTTTACCGTTATCTGACTGAAGATTCATACAAAGCAGTGTTTCTCAACATCTTGAAACCCACACCCCCGTTTGAAAAACAAAACTTTCACATCCCCCTTCAAACCAGCTCCAATAATTTCCTTCCAAAACTTAAAATGATGAATCCCTCGAAACTAAAAACAGAGGGAACCAATTTGTAACTTTTGTTGTTGTTCCGTGGTTAAGTCGTGTCTGGTTCTTCGCGACCCCCATATCAGGCTTTCCTGTCCTCCACTCTCTCCTGGAGTTGGCCAAAATTCATGTTCATTGTGTGGACATCTTAACTGTCTCTTCCTCTGGGATGGACCAACTTGCCATAGCCAGCTTGCCACGGGGTCAGCTTACCACAGCCAATTCATTGCTTACAATGTGGGACAACTTGCCACGGAACAACTTCTTGCGGGACAGCTCAACAATTCAAGTTAATTGTTTAAAATTATTTTAAAAATTATTTTCATTTTTGCTATTCACATTTTATTTTGTCCCTCCCTTGGCATCCTTTCTTTAATTATTCTATTTGATTGCTTCTTCAATGTTAATGTAACTTTTGTCCCGTGATGAGTTGGCTGCGGTGAGATGGCTGTGGTGAGTTGGGTGTGGCAAGTTGTTGTAGACCCCTCCTCCTCTGCTGTCCCCTTCTCCTTTTCCTTCCATCTTTCCCAACATCAGGGTCTTTTCCAAGGAGTCCTCTCTTGTCATTAGGTGGCCAAAGTATTTGAGCTTCAGCTTCAGTATCCGTCCTTCCCAGAAACAGACAGGGTTGATTTCCTTTAGGATTGCAATTTTAATAAACTCTAGACAGCACACTAAAAAGCAGAGACGTCACCCTGCCAATAAAAGTGCCTATAGTCAAGGCCATGGTGTTCCCAGTTGCAATGTATGGCTGTGAAAGCTGGACCATAAGAAAGGCCAAGCGCCAAAGAATTGAGGCCTTTGAACTCTGGTGCTGGAGAAGACTCCTGCGAGTCCCCTGGACTGCAAGGCGATCAAACCGGTCAGTCCTAGAGGAGATCAACCCCGACTGCTCTTTAGAAGGCCAGATCCTGAAGTTGAAACTCAAGGACTTTGGCCACCTACTGAGAAGGAAGGACTCACTGGAGAAGAGCCTGATGCTGGGAAAGATGGAGGGCAATAGAAGAAGGGGACGACAGAGAATGAGGTGGCTGGATGGAGTCACTGAAGCAGGAGGCGTGAGCTTCAATGGACTCCAGAAGATGGTAGAGGACAGGAAGGCCTGGAGGAACGTTGTCCATGGGGTCGGAATGGGTCAGACACAACTTCGCAACTAACAACAACAACAAATTTATTTTCAACTCCAAATTGGCTGTTGCTCTTCAAATGTATATCCTTTTTCATCCCTACTTCTGGATTTCAGCTTCTCATTTTTTCTCTTTCCTTCCCTCCCCCACTTTTTAGAAGCGGAAAGAAACTTTTCAGACTCCCCATCTTCTCCTGAGATCTTGATACCTCAGGAATCCCTCTCAACAAACAAAAATCAATATCTTGGACAGAGACAGCATTTTATATAGAGGTGTTCTTTTTTGGGGGAAAAGGGTAAATAAGAAACAAATCAGTACATTTAAGGAACAGAGGAAAGCAAGCAAACAAAAAGGACTTCGATGGAGCAAAGCACTGTACCTGATTGGCCTGAGAAGTTGAAAAGTCACCATGGAAAGAATTCATCAGGAAGTTGAAACACAGCAAAAAGTCGGAAGAACGCCGTTAGCGTTAGGATACAAACATTAATACACAGACGTTTGAGCAAAATCTACACCAATATTTCTCAATCTATGCTGGACTACCGCTCCCATCTTCCTGGCAACCATGTCATTGGGAAGTCCCACAGTGATGACTGGGAGCCATGCTCAATGCATGGGCTAGAAAGGCTGATCAAAAGAGTGGGCAACCAACTGGACAGAGCCACCATTGAATGAATGGCTTATCCTGGATTCCAGTTTGTATTATCTACTTCAAGAGGACAATAGAAGACTTACACCAATGAAAGTGGAACAGACTTCATGGTAATGTTTTCCAGTGGACGATAATCACCAGATTAGGAAAAAGAGTTAAATATAGACATTCCTAAAAGGGTCTCTTACTAATGACATTAAATAAAAATGCTCTAGTTTTTTGGTTTCAGTAATAGGGTAGTCCCCATAATTATGATGGTCTATGATTCATCATCGCTAGCCACTGGTTACACTGGTTGGGACTTTGGGAGTTTCAATTCAATTATTTTTGGAAGCCCCAGAGTGAGGGAGGTGGAGCAGTAGTGTACTGTATAGCTCAGTATTATTTTTTGTGGTTTATTTTTTTTAATATTTTGGAGGATCCTCTCCTCCTCCGTTTAAAATATTCTCCAACCCCACCCCTCCATAATTACATGATGCTAATACCCACTGAGGAAAACATTAACCAAGAAGGATGCTCAAAGGCTTCAGCTAGCAAAAATTGCATCGTCACTATTTTACATTAGCAGCGGGAAAAGCTTCATTTCGGAAGAGAAGGATGAGACGACATCACAGCAACACGAACAGTGACAGAGGAAGTTCATGCGGGTTGATATGGTTAGTTAAGTTTTAGCCAGGCGTTGGTTTCCACAAGACGAGAAAGGACTGGTAAACAACACCCACACGATACAGAAGTTTCAGATACGCAGAAACAGTGATCCCGTGAAAGAAAAAATAAATATGTGTAGAATAAAAACTCATCAGCAATGACATGGTGCGCCAAGTCCAGTGATTAACAAACGGAAGTGACAGTGTACAGATTGGGGCTACATCTCCATTGATGGCTGTGCTACATGCAGCAATTCACTTGACGTGCTTAAATACATAATGGAGGGAGGGGTGGGCAACCTTAAGAGACCCATTTCCTGCCCTCATACAAAATCTTGAGAAGATCTTCAGAGCAGCAGAGACCCACAACACTATGGATCAGGGAACTACTCTAAATATTGGCCCACAAAATTGGTCCAAATTAGATTGTTCTTCATTCTTATAACAAGGGGCAGGATCCTTGTATCCCCAAAGGCAAGTATGTTATCACAGGTACCCTATCACAGGTAACACCTGTTACATTCTTAAAGGGTCTTACTTCCAAGATATATATGTTTAAAAAAAATCTGCCATCAAGACAAGAATGTGTCAAAAAAAATGAGAGCAAACTCTGATCTACATTGAGTACTTAAGGTCTATGGGCACTTGTTTTAATTAAATGAAAGAAAAAAAAATGCAAAAGTCTTATGTTGACTTTACATATTTTTTTTAGGGAGAAGTAAATAGAAATTGTCTAGGAATGGGAATAACCAAACAAATTTGGATTTTTATGGATTCACACTTTTCCAAAAGGAAAAGGTGTGGTTTTACCCATATACTGCTCTCATTTTCTACTCCATTTCTTCTACAGATCATCTCAACTTCTGCTGCTTACTCCTTCCTTCATTTCCCCCCAGATTAGATTCTCTCTGTCTACTGCTTGCTCTCTGCATTTCAGATCCCATCTGTCTTCTCTAATGGTCACCCGGAGAGACCCCCAATGAACATTTCACTTTGATTTCTTCCATGCCTACACCCTTGGAAAAAGGGTGGTCCATCTATTGTTTTACATTTAGAGAACATCCTCATTTCTTCTTGAAGAAGGCATAATTCCATGCATTGTGTCTTACATCCCATTATATTTTACTTCTTTCCTCCACAATGAAGGTGTCCATCCAAAGAAGTAAGCAGTAACAGAGAAATGGATATTAACCGTAAGCCAACTTCTGACTAGCGGACTGGCTGGGCTGATGGGGAAATGGATCTGGTCCCTAAAGTGGTTTCTGGTTCCCATTCATGGGCTAGAACTTTGACTTTAAATGCATCATTTCTCCGGTATCAGCTCTGCTCAGCGACAGCATCAGGTTCACCTTTACTCATCTCAAAAAGCTAGATAGGTCAAACCTGATAAGTTCTGGGTTAGAGACCACAGAACATCTGGAAATAGCTGACAAAGGGAAGCCAGACAACATTCTGGCAAAATAATTTCTATTGTTACCAAGAAAGCTACATGTCCATATCCATAGGATTCAAGTTCCGTTGGAAGAAATGAACCTTTTCCAAATATTAAAACTGCCAACCACACAACAGGGGGGTGGTTTTCAGGTGTCATCATGCAATCTCATGCACTGGACACCTGCCAAATGATTAAAACTTCAAACATATCCCCAGATATCTATAATACCATTCTGAAGATCTCTTATGTTCTCACCTGAAATATTGATACAATCCTAAGGAAGAATCAGAATAACAATGAGAGAATAACAGAGCTGCGAGAGACCTTGGAGGTCTTCTAATCCAACCCCAGGCTCAAGCAGGAGTCCCTCAACCATATCACTAAAGCCCTGGGAGATTGGTGCTCTTTGAGGGCTTCAGATTTTATTTAGGAAGTCCTACAGATGTCACATTCCCAGGTCTGACTCAATGAACGTATGATGAAGGCAAGCTATATTGCCCTGATCATGATCCATTGACATGGCCAACATTTTTGCAGACATTAGTAACGCTTTTAAAAAAATCTCTTTGCTCCACAGCCCAGAAATGAAAGACATTTTCTTCTTTTGTTTTTTTTTTTAAAAATAAGAACAATAAAATGGATATAATAGCAAATGAGAGAGATGCACAATGTTGGGTGTACTTTGCAACGTAGTTGTGAACATGCAGTGAATCTTGAACCTCCAGGCACAGATTTTCTTCAAAGAAATAGAAATGGGTGGCTCACATTTGGCAGAATCGTGGTTTAAAATGAATCTGTGCTTTACAAATCATGCAGGGTGTACAAGAAGAACCAAAACACACTGAGATCGTTAGAGAAGAGGTTTTGGTGCAATTTGCCTGAAAGTGCTACTACTGCGGCTAAGGGTTTTAGGATTCGATGTTTCTCAGTTTAAGGCCCTCTTAAATGCAACCTATTCTTAGAGCCCAATTAAGTTCCTGTCATATAATTATTAGAGACTTACAACATCTTAACATTAATTTCTAACCTACTCTTCAAATGAAACAAAATCGCACTCATAAAAAAACAATAGCTAGATGTAAGTACAGATAGTTCTCGACTTAAAATCATTTATATCTTTTGTAGACCTCCACAGATCCAATGAAGAACGGTTTTTGGTCTCTCTGGAGCTGTTGGTCATTTGAACAATGATTTCATATTACAGGTAGTCCTGGATTTACAACCGTTCATTTAGTGACTGTTCAAAGCTACAACAGCCCTGAGGAAAGTGACTTATGACCATTTTTCACAGTCGTGTGATCAAAATTCAGATGCTTGGCAACTGGTTCGTATTTATGACGACTGCGGTGTCCCGAGGTCATGTGATTCACCTTTGGCCACCTTCTGACAAGCAAAGCCAATGGGGGAAGCCAGATTCACTTAACAACCAGGTTACTAACTTAACAACTGCAGTGATTCACTTAACAACTGTGGCAAGAAAGGCCGTAAAATGGGTCAAAACCCACTTAACAAATGTCTCACTTAACAACAGGAATTTTGGGCTCAATTGTGGTCGAAAGTCAAGGACTATCTGTATATATCTATGGAGGATAAGCTATGTATCAACTGCATAATTTATCTTCCTTTGTTTATTTAAGATTGTTTTAAGGCTACACTCCAATTTATTTAGCTCAGCTGAACTTTACTAAAAGCAACTCCAAAACAGGACCCTAAAATATTGCCTCGTTGCATTCGAACCCAGACTTTCCCAATCCAACCTTTTCCAGATGCGTTGAGACTGTAATCCCCATAATTCCTAGCGAGGTGTCGCCTTGGAATTCTGGGAGCAGGAGTTGCCAAAAGAGTTGGAGAGGGCCACGTTGGGGAAGACTGTCCTCGATTTTTTTTCAGGAATTCAGGCTGACGGTTCTAATCTGGAATTGTCTCACTTACTAACTGGCTACTTGGACACTTACCTGGTGGTCCTGCTGGTCCTGGAAGACCAGGTGGTCCAGGTGGTCCTTGCCCACCAGCTCCTGGAATCCCTGGAGGTCCAACTAGTCCAGGCTGGCCACGTGGTCCTGTATCACCTAAGAAGAAGATTTCAAGAAACTAAATATTTCAGAAGCTACATATGTTCTTAGAAATAACATACTGAAATATGCATGTCGCAACATTCAATGAACTCTTGCCTACCTTTGAAGCAGCTGGGAGGACAAAGTCCCCTATCCATTATTGATTCTGTTCAATAATTCATGTATTATTGAAAACTGGCTGACAATGAGAGGACGGGGATGTTTCATTTTCAGAAGTGCACCTACCTGGGTCTTCAGTGAGACACCAGCCATGACTCCAGAGAAGGCAGTAGAGTGGCAATGGTTATCCAAGGGACTTTTGAGAACATTGACCATAGTATCCTTCTGGACCTCCTTCAAGGGTCAGGGGGGGGGGGTCATGGTGTTGCACTAGGTTAGGATGTTGGATGAACTGGAAAATGGATTACGATTCTAAACATGTTCATATTTGGCCTTGGTTTCTGCTGCTTTTTACTGTGTTGTGTCGTTTCATGTTTCACATTTATCTTGTTTTTTTAATCCTATGTTAACTGACCAGACCAGACTTACATCTGCAAATGGAGATGGATGGATGGATAGGCAGGCAGATGGATGGACAGATAATAGATAGATAGATAGATAGATAGATAGATAGATAGATAGATAGATAGATAGACAGACAGACAGACAGACAGACAGACAGACAGACAGACAGACAGACAGACAGACTGAATCACACTTCTAGACCTAACCATGGTTGTTCGTTTAGAGAGGGAATCACATTTTTTGAAACTCAATCTCCTTCCTGGAATTATGTTCTCACAAACTGGCATGGTCAACTGACACATTTGAGAGTTGTATTCTAGTGACATCTGGAGGACAGTTTGCTCTACTTAGAAACGGATACTCTTGACCTTGTCTGGAATCAAAAGTAAATAGAATGAGCCTTGGTGGGATGGGAAACCATCACAGTTTTAATCCAGACCACATCAAGAAGAGGAGGTAGTGGAAGTACTACTATCAAAAAACTCACCTGGCCCTATCCATGAAACCATCAAGAGTAGAGTGTAACTCAAAGAAAAATACAGTATATATATTTTTATCATCTCTTAAATCGAAAGAATAGTACTGTTTTAAAACATTTCTTTAACTACGCCCCTTATAACATTAATTTTACAAGTCTATGTTGCTTTTCCCCATTGTAACACTTCTCCACAACTATGAAGATAGGTTCTAGAACAAAATATGGTTTGAAGAAGAACATCAGTGATGGTTCCAATCCTGTCAACTGCAAATCAAGACTTGTTGATTCAGCCATCATGCTGAACTCATATTGGCACTGATCCAGTCTGATTCTGCCTGGGTCCAAAAAGATGCATAGAAAACCAGAAGGTAGCCAGCCTTAAACCGAATCCCTACATTTAAGTCAGACTCATCTGCATTGACTGCTGCCACAACCGAGTAGCCTCTTCTGTACCTTTAGCTCCGACAGCTCCATCAAAACCTGGCTGTCCTGGGGAGCCAGGATTTCCTGAGAAGCCGGGCACTCCTTTGGCACCTTGCGCTCCTTTGAAACCTGGTGGCCCAGGTGGCCCTGTGGGTCCTGGAACGCCAAATCCTCGCTCTCCCTGAAAGGCCAGATAGCAAAAAGTTAGTTCAGAATATCCCAAAGGATTTTTTTCAGGAGGCAACTGGACTTACCTTGTTTTATTTTGAAGACATTTCACTTCTCATCCAAGAAGCTTCTTCAGCTCTGACGGGATGGGGAATGGAAGGATCTCACCATCCAGTCAAAGCAGAAGAAGCTTCTTGGATGAGAAGCGAAATGTCTTCAAAGAAAAACAAGGAAGTCCAGTTGCCTCCTGAACAGGGGTAGTCAACCTTGGCTCTTTTATGACTCGTGGACTTCAACTCCCAGCTGGCTCAGGAATTCTGGGAGTTGAAGTCCACGAGTCATAAAAGAGCCAAAGTTGACTACCACTGCTCCTGAAGAAGCACCTTTGGGACACCATGGCCTGGATGGCTGAGAATCTCTGTAGATATTTAGTTCACAATGTTTGTTCTCAATTCTGCGGTCCATCCCATGCTTCCTACTGTTGTATTTGACTGCACATGCTTCCTACTGTTGTATTTGACTGCACAGAAAAGAGGTGTGTAAACAACTTTGTTTGGCCTGTTCAGTTATCCCACCACATCTCGATTAAAGAAACTAGCACAAGGGTTGTTCTTCATAGGACCAGGAAGCCTGATCAATCTAAGAAAGGTCCAAGGCTCAAGACCAACCAAGGTCATCTTTACTTCGATTAATTCACCTTCCCTGACCTGGTGTGCCTCAGATACGTCGGGATTCCAGTCCCTCAACATTCCCAAATAGCACAACCATCTGGAACACAACCAGGGGATGGAAGACGAGGAGAATCCTTCACACCAAAGCAAGCAGTTTTTCTCCACAGACCTTTTGTCCTTTCGCTCCAGGAAGTCCAGGGGTTCCATCAGCTCCGGGTCTTCCAGAGTTTCCTGGAAGTCCAGGTTCACCTGATACACCGGGAAAACCTTTAAAAAAGGTAAACAGATTAGAGGGCAATGACAATAAACTCCAACCCAATCCAATTATATCTTGCAAACCCTTCCTTCCTTCCTTCCCTTCCCTTCCCTCCCCCTTCTTCCTTCCCTTTCCTTCCCTCCTTCTCTTCTTTCTTTCTTTCTTTCTTTCTTTCCTTCCTTTCTTCTTTCCTTCCTTTCTTCTTTCTTTCCTTCTTCCTCTTTCTTTCTTTCTTTCCTTCCTTCCTTCCTTCCTTCCTTCCTTCCTTCCTTCCTTCCTTCTTTCTTTCTTTCTTTCTTTCTTTCTTTCCTTTCCTTTCCTTTCCTTTCCTCTCCTTTTCCCCCCTTTCCTTTCCTTTTGTATGGTTGTACTATAGTTCAGTCATCCATTGGCAACTCCTGCTCCAACCAATACCTCACACTGCCTTTACAGAACATGAATGAGACCAACCTTTGGGCCCTGGTGGGCCTGGGAGTCCAATGCCAGGGAAGCCGGGTTCACCTTTTTGGCCGGGGATTCCTGGCAACCCAGGCGATCCAGGTTGACCAGAGTCTCCTGATAAGAAATATATTCCAATCATACACTGATCACCCCCCATCAGTAAGCCCTGGTTAATGACAATGTAAATTCTTTGTTTGATTGTTGTGAGCAGCCAGACACCCTTCAAGGTTAGTAAATAACAGGTGGGTAAAAAGGCCAAATACAGACTAAACATCTGACTGACCAGACAGTCAACCATGCTAACAATTCACAGAGCACCATGGTCTTCCATAATTATTCTAAAATGGGGACAGAGAAGAGGTGATTGGTTAGACCAGGGGTAGGCAACCTTGGCTCCTTTATGACTTGTGCACTTCAACTCCCAGAATTCCTGAGCCAGCTATGCTATGCTCAGGAATTCTGGGAGTTGAAGTCCACAAGTCATAAAAGAGCCAAGGTTGCCTACCCCTGGGTTAGACCCTAACCTAAAATCCCTTCCTCCAGAAATGAAACAGACTTTGTTATGTTGTCAGGAAGTATGGCAGCTTTTTACCTGGAAAACCATCTTCACCATTTCTGCCTGGGGGGCCTGGAGGCCCCGGGGGTCCTTTTTCGGGAATAGATTGAGCAGGTTCGCCTTTGGGCCCTGGAAGAGCCAGAAAAACAGCAAGAGCAAAACGGCTTATATTTCACAACAAAACCCAAACCAAATGGGACCATCCTCCCATATTTTCTACTCTAGATTAGTCTTCTGATGTTTTGTATTGGTAGGATAGATTTGCACTCCCTCTAGTAATGTAACCTGTAGGATAGTGGTGGCGAACCTATGGCACGCGTGCCAGAGGAGCCCTCTCTGTGGGCACACGCACCGTCGCCCCAGCCCCGCCTCCTCCCATGGCCCCCTCCTCACCAGCAGCCCTCCCAGAGGAGAGTTGCCCCCGGGCACAGCCCACGCGAAGCAGCGCAGCCAAGGACATGGTAGCCGGACAGCGGGGACAAGACTCCACCCTTGCACCCCATCGTGCACAGATGATGCTGTGGGGCATGGGTGGAGGGCGTGGCCACCATGGTGCTGCTGGGCTGCCTGGGTGATCTGTGGTGGGCCGTGGAGGTGGTGGGTGGCCCAGCAGGCAGGGCAGAGTGGGGATGGGGATGGGGGGCAATTTTGGGACACTTGGTCTCTAAAAGGTTCACCATCACTGCTGTAGGAGAAGAAAAGGCTGAGCTGGAAGGCGGGCTTAAATATCTCATCAGTTTAGAATCAGTATGCTGTCACAAAAGACTTAAGTCCAGCTCCCATGAATTCTGTGACCCTCATCTAGGGCCAATTTAGCTTTGACTGTGACTAGGCTCTTGTATAAAGGTAGCAATAATAAATGGTTCTGTGCTTTCACATATACATCTTGGCAAAGGGCAAAGCCACCCCATTCCACATGTACATATTTTTCTGAATTAAACACAGCGGACCCTCCAGTCAGGCGGAGCACGCGACTTCAAACTCCTCTCTTCTACTGAAATAATTGTCCCAGGCAAATGATCTTTCACCAATCTGAGCAGCCACGTTGTTATAGACATTTAGGAGGAATATACCTACCTGGAGCTCCTGGGGAACCTGGACGTCCAGGAACGCCTTGCAGCCCCTTGTCTCCTGGAGGACCTTGTGGTCCAAATCCGGGAGGTCCTGGAGGCCCTCGCTCTCCACTGAGTCCAGGAAGACCTGAATCCCCAGTAGGGCCCCGGTCTCCTTTGAAAGCAATGCTACCCTAGGGCAACGAAAAAAAGGACTGCCTCGATTAATGCATGATAAAACCCGTAGGTTGGTTTCACCATGATCTGGTTGCTTCTAGCTTCACACCCTTTACTGATCCAAAGCAACCCATCAACCCATCAAATGACGATGCCATTTATTAGGCAACAGGAAAACCAGGGGAACCAGGTGGTGAAAGCCAATAGGAGTGCCTGAGTCACTGAAATCCAAATCTCTTGCCCTTGAAATTATTATTATTATTTTTTTACAAATTTTATTAAATGTGCATTTTAAAAACAAAAATGGACATGATTCAACTTCCCTGGCTTCAACAGTGCTATTAGTATTACCTTATGTTACAAAAAGAAAAACAGAAACTTAAACTATATTCTATAATAGGACAGAGTATAACAAACTGTGCGTATAACATCTGTAAATTTTTTGATAAACCATCTTTCAATCGTCAACGTTGTATTTACATATCTTTCAGTTGTGTCCTAATATAGGTACTAATAAGAAGTCCTTATGATATCAACTAGTCAATCGACAATCATCTCAGCAATCCTCCTTATCTCTAACCAATCCTACAATTTTTTCCAAATTTCATAATACTCTATTTCAGTTTTATTTTTAATCTCTAGAGTTAACCTGTCCATTTCGGCGCAGGATAAAATTTTATTTATTATTTCTTCCTCAGTGGGGGTTTCCTTTCCTTTCCATTTTTGGGCGTATGCCAATCTTGCTGCGGTTAAAATATGCAATAGTAAGTAAAAAGATGCTTTGCTGAGTTTATCATTAATAATCAAAATTATTATTGTTGTTGTTTGTTGTTGTTGTTATTTGCACAATCACCCAGATGTTCAGACTGGGTTTGGCCTTTTTGTCTACCTATCGAGTCCTTCCCAAGGACCTGGAATAGGCAGATGTGGATATTTGATGGTATTACAGATATCGTCGCAAGATGGAAGCAGTTCCTAGTAAGGCCACCTTTTGCAATTGACTGAATTTGTCAATGCCGATGATGGTGTTCAAGTGGTGCTCCAGTTGTTTTGGGATTGCACCCAAGGCGCCTATGACTATTGGTACTACCCTTGCTTGTCTTTGCCACAGTCGTTCTATTAGGTTACAAGCCAGGCGATTATGAGTTCTAGTCACACATTAGGCACAAAGCCAGTTGGGTGATCTTGGGCCAGTCACCCTCTCTCACCCCTGGGAAACAGACAAGGTCGAACAACATCTCAAAAAACTTGCCAAGAAAACCTGCCAGAGTAAAAAAAAACCTGACTCAAAGGCACAAAACAAAAACAAAAACAGTTTGACTTGATCTTTTACAAAGCTGTAGCCTCCATGACACTCTGAAATTCCTGGTTTATTTATCTGTATCATATAACTTTACTCTTTTTCATGCTTTCTCTTATATTTGTTGATCTTTTTTTTAAGTGGCCAATAAAGGAAAACAACAACAACAAACTCAGCACCAGGTTTCAGTTCAGTTCCTAAAGAAATTTCCTCAACCAGCACCCAGTTATTCCCAGGATATTAGACTTGAAAATTCCCGATTGAGGCTTATCGTCATAGGATTCCAAACATTATGCTGTTTTCACTGACTTACTGGCTCGCCCTTGGATCCAGGATAACCTCGGATTCCATCTTTCCCCGGAGAACCATCTAAGCCGGGCAGCCCTGGAGGACCTGGGAAACCTGAATTTCCCTTTTCACCTTTCATTCCAGGGAAACCAATCATGTCACCTGGATCACCTTTAGCACCAGGACGTCCAAGAGAACCTTGGGGTCC